CGCATTATTCTAGAATGTAAACTGACTAATCGTACCAATTTAATTGGACTTGCATAAGTATATCATGAAGAAGACAAATGGAAAACCACTTAATTGCTGTTCTGTGGCCTTGAGAGAGAGAGAGAGAGAGAGAGAGAGAGAGAGAGAGAGAGAGAGAGAGAGAGAGAGAGAGAGAGAGAGAAGGGGGGGGAGGGAGGGAGAGACAGAGACAGATTATGTGTTGACATGTTATGTTGTATCTTGTGTTGCAAGCAGCTGGCAAAAGCACATGCACTGTCACAGTCCGTGCCGGCTTTAAGCACGCCGACATAAAGCACGTTTCGGACTCAAGCACGCTAAACGGCTCTTACCGAATTTTTGCTATATAAATTACACGCCTCTAAGCACGGTAACTTCGGCTTCGGGCACGCTTCATTTACAAGACAGTCAATACTTTCATGATGACCAATCGAAGTTCGAACACAGTCTAAACCGAAAACACAGCAAGGAGTGGTTTTTTTTTTTTTACACACATTTTGTCAGAGCTGACACATTGACTTAGAATGCTTGTTCAGTCTCGGTACTTCATACTTGTTTACAATGTTATGGCTTGCTCTACCTGAGTTTTGTCTGTGGATAAAGGCATCTCTTCATTTCTCTTTCTACTGATATAGCCTAATATTATAGTTAGAATGGTAGCCTGAGCTCAAGTGTGTTGTCATTCTCAAACACATCGTGCAAGACAGAGCCAACATGCAGAATAAGAGTGCATTGTTCAGTCTTAGTACTTTCAAGTCGTTTACATTGTTACAGTTTGATCTATGCAGATCTTGTCAATCTTTTCATATCACGGTGGAAGTATGGTACAAATAACTCAAGGTAAGAATAATCTGAAAGAAATCCCAACTAACCTTCAATCTGTAGTCGAAACAGCAGGGAGCAGACGTCCACAACGTCCAGCATAGCTCCGGAGTTGGCCGCTCGGACGGTCACCTCTTTGTCAAAGATAGACAGCGCAGACTCATAGTCTCCCTGGGAAGAACAAAAAAGAATGAAACAAAAACTACCAATGACCAAAAAACACTCTCAGAATTGGATTTTATTGCTATTGCTTTTACTGTCTTCTCAACAAAATGTTGATCATATTATAGACCGTGGGGGGGGGGGGGGGGGGGAGGGATAAACCCAGTTTTCTGCATTAAAAAGGTATGCAATCAGAAAGAGGGGTTCACACTTCATCTCCACAAAAGATGAGCCCTAAGGTGTTAATGAAAAGACCCATCACCCCCCTAGAAAGTTTCAGTTTGAGTAGAGAGAAGAAAATCAATACAATAACAATCAGTTTAGTTTAAGCAAGAGTTTTACTGCACTTGCAACACAACAAGGTCATATAAGTGCCGAAGAGTAGATGTGTTACAAGAGAGTAACATACACAAAAAAGAAGGAGCGATAAGGACGACAGATGTTTGATAGGAAAGAAGGAGCATACCACACCAGAGCACCCGCCAACCACCCGTCAATAACAATCATTCAGTGCGCAGAAAAAATAAGACAGACAGAAGCAACAAAAGAGAAAAAAAAGAAAGATCAATACAGCGCCCTCTATCCTCACCCAGAAAATAAAAAATAAAATAAACACAAAAAAAACAAAAAAACACGACCCCCCTCCCCCAGAAAATGTACTTACAATCTCGAGGTAGTAGAGTGCCCAGTGCCAGTGGTTGTGACAAGCCAGCATTCCACAGCTCTGAGGAGAAGTGGGTGGTGGGAAGGGGACCATGTAGGAACTAAAAGCATTGGAGGAATAAAGTACGGTACAAGCTTAATGCATGTTTCAACATAGTCAAGTAACGAAAGAATCAGGAACTCGAATTGTTATGTTTTGTCTGAGTAGATCTATCCTTCATAAGCTTATAACGTTATCTTTCATTATATTAGTTCTGTTCCTATGTCTGGATGAAAATAGTCTCTGTGTGTGTGTGTGCGTGTGTGTGTGTGTGTGTGTGGGTGTGTGTGTGTGTGTGTGTGTGTGTGTGTGTGTGTGTGTGTGTGTGTATGTGTGTGTGTGTGCATTAATGTATATTGCATGAGAAGAAAGGAAGTAGTAAGAAAGGTTTTTGAAAAATGGGTATTCCAATGTAAAAGCGCATTGAGCTACTTTTTTGGAAATGCGCTATATAAATGTTATATATTATTATTATTATTATTAGATCAGATGATAGGTCTGAGCAAAGCAGGAACAGAGCCGTGAAAACTCACTCATATAAGATTCATTCTCAAAAATCCCCCATTGAGCTTTGAAATGGGTCCCCCATTGAGCTTTGAAATGGGTTCATCCATGTTACGGTCCACAATGAGCTATCACATCAACAATTTTACTACAGATGGAAAAACCGTAGACTCAGGGAGCTTTTTCTTTTAAAGGGATAGATAGGCTACCCCCCCCCCCACCCTACCCCCTAAAAAAAAGAGAAGCTAAGAAATATCGGAAGCAGAGCAGTAAGTCCCTGTTAGGGCACAAGGGGCTGAGAGGAGACATAAAATTATTATAGTTTGACAACAAAAAGACGTATGAGAATCAGACTCTGTCAGATTTAAGTGGAATGCTTTTGCTTGATGTTTGATTTGGTAATTCCACAGTCTTCAGTCATGTAGCCCTAATTATAGTGTGCACCTTCAAAGAAAAAAAATCTTTAAAAGTTTGCTCCTTGCCGAAGAAACAGTTTGTTTTCAGATAATGAGACATCTAAATGTGTATTTAACTCTTCAAATATCAAGAAGGGAGCCCTCCAAATCATCTCAGTCAAGAAAAGGATGGACAAAGATACAAAGATCAAGACCTCCACCACCTGTCCTTTGGTCAAGTTTCAAACTTATAGAGACGCTGGCAAGTCGTTATTCAACCTGTCAAAAATGTCTCTGAATTGCAAAATAACAAGAGTAGCCTTACATTATCGTTGACAAAATAAATCTGTTTTGTTTGGGAAAGAGTTTTACAGCCCTAGTATCTCTGTGAGGTTAAATGAGCGTGCGGCATTCAAGTTGGTTGTTTTCATATTAGTCTTTGACAAAGTTTGATTTTCCATTTTAAATCTGGAATAGTTGAACAAACTAAAAAAATTTTAAGTAACAATTTAAAAAAAATAATAATAGTAATTTACAAATATCACGCTTTAAAAAAGCAAATCATTCCATTATCACTTATACACAATAACACGATTTAAAAAGAAAATACTTCAATAGAGAAAAGTTAACTTCAGAAATGTCTGTGCTGATCATTCATACTTGGATAAGAGGTTATCATGGGAGGCAATTCATGGCATTATAATTTATGATCAGAGGCATAAGTTGGACTTATTTACCTCCCAGTATTGTGTGGTGGTCTGCATCATGTGAATTCCTTCGTGCTGTCGTCCCATCATTTCCATAACGTGACATAGGGTGTGGGTGGCCCATGCATCACGTGGGTTGATTGACAAGGCCTGAAAGACAGAACGGACGATGTATGATCAGATAAGACATCTCTACGTATTCTAACACTTTTCGGTCATTTGGCGCAATAATGCAACCGGTGAAAATTATCCGTTCCTGTCCCCTGGCGCAGTTCTGTGCCAGGCCCGGGAAGTCTGTTGCATTCACTCACCTGACAGGGAGACCAAATGGGGTATTTTGAACAGTTGACTGTGTGACTGCAAAGTGTTAAATAATATTAGGAGAGAGTTCATCTATGTACGATCTTAATAAGCTCATAATATGGCTTCGGTTGTCACAGGAGTAGATAAACAAAGTCATATAGATCACAGGAATGGGGTATCAATGAAAAGCTATAAGATATGATAAGATAAGATAAGATGAGATAGGAATCTTTATCGTCCAAATGCTGGCAAATAGGTTAGTGCTCCACCAATTATAGTCTTATAACTTATAAACATTCTCCTCATCCCAAAGTAGGAAGTAATCTTCTCAGCCGCTGATTATACACAATCATCTTACACAGCACAGGATTTCATATCCATAGCAGAAGACTCAAACACATTCTACTCACTGATGTACTGTTCTACAAAGATTTCAAAAGAAAACTTAATCAATGTGGATAACACTGAGCCTTTTAGACACAGTGTAGGTGATTTCAAATCATGTGGAGTATTTGGTCTTCTGTCAGGACATGGTATGAGACAAAACAGTCTAAAATGGACAAGGAATACACTGCAGACCTACCTCCTACCTGTTGTTCAAACTTCAATCTTACACAAAGTAGAACAAGTACGTGTCACATACAGAGACTGGCCAAAAAAACCCCGATAGCCTAAAAAAAGACTCCAACCTTGAGCTGAAAAAAACTTCTCAAATTAAAAGACAACAATTTAGCACGTTGTAAGTCTCTATTCATCTCATAATATTTACAGGAAAATTATAGATCATTAATTCAACAGATTAAAAAAACACTATTTTCATCCTTATTAAAAATGAAACGTTACACTGACCTTTCGAGCTGCTGCTTCTGCTTCAGGGTACAAATTTGTTTCTTCCAATCCAAAAGAGTGCATTCCATGAATGTAGCTGTCAAAACAAAGGTTACATTCACAAAAGTTTCTTTACAATCATTTCAGGACCCCCCCCCCCCCCCCTTAGGAGCATACATACATGGAAAAGTATCTGACATTATACACCTAAAATTTTAGAAGTGAACTCAAAAGTCAAGTATGTTAGAAACAAGACAATAAGTCAGTCTAAGACTAAGAGTAAACTTGAAGGACCAACCCCTCCCCCCCCCCCTCAACCCCCAAAGAAACTAAAGAAAAAAAATACAGCATGCATCATTACCTTATTTCACCTTCTCCCAAAACCATATCAAATTTTCTCATCTCCCCCTCCCTCCCTACTCATCCCTGTCACATTCCAAACAAATAAACAATGAGGCCTAACATCCTCCTCACACACATACACACACTTGAATCCACAAATACACACACGCCCATAAATGAGCCAGCAAACTCACCCATACAGAGGCATAGTAGGCTTCCAGTGCGGCAAAACCCTGGCAATGCTATCGCGGATCTGTGCTGAGTACCCGAGGTAGAAATATGTATCGTGTGCAAATTTGAGTGCCAGTACATCGTTTGGGAATTCTGTCAAGATATCCTCCCATTCAAGGCAAGCTCGAGCAGTGTCACTGTGCAGAAGGATGAAATTCAACCACAGATCAGTATTTAATGAATTAATGTGACAAATTTGAATAAGCTTTGAGAGTGTCTGATTTTATAAAGACAGCATGGACATTAAACCACCACAAACAGAATACTAAACGCAAAGAAATAATACACACAAATAATCCCCATGTATATACACTTATATTATTGACAGGATCAATCAACATTTCTCTCACTTACCGTACTCATTCATAAATTATACTGGCCGGCCAATGAGGCTGAACATTTTTTTCCCATACACAGAGCATATCCAAAGAAATAAATATGATAATGATAATTACATTTTGTAAAAAAGGTCTACACTGGGTTGTACGTACCGTAAAAGAATCTCTCTTCCTCCTCTTTTGAAGCGTTTAGAGAGAACTTCCCTTACAGTTTGAAAATTTTATGAGCACTCTTTTCTAGGAATTTCTTAACCATTCAGAATTCCCAGAATATGAAAATGCATTGGGAAAAAATTCTTGCCTGAGGACCTTTAAGCTAAACCTATGGCATATGAGTGACAGAATTCATTTAACAGAAAGAGGAAAAAAAAGAAGAGCACTAAAAAATAAATTCCCACTGCCAAGACCATAAGCCTTGTTACAGATACTATACAAAACAAACAATGAATCCATCCTTAGGTGTTTCACCAATGTTATTATGGCTTTTGAGTAAACAGTTGTAATTTACAGAGCCAACAAAGAGACTACCACCTTTCAGGAGAGAAGGTAATTAAAATTTGGCCAAAGTAAACAGAATGATACAAGGGGAAAACTAAGAAAGACAGACAGAAACAACAACCAGAAGAAAAAACTAAAAACAAAACCACCCTCTCAGGCAAATGAAATGTTGACAAGACGCATGAAGAACAGAAGTCAATATCATCCTTATTTTCTTCTCCAAGACTGAGCAGTCCCAACAAAACAACATAAACTCTCTCTTTGACCGTGACCTACCCTTTAGCCCAGATATCAAGGGCATCCACGTGTTTCCTCTCCCTGGCTGAGATGTCCTTCCCTGTGTTTTGCGCCAGTTCTACCATACGGCTCACATCATCACGCAGGGCGGCATCCAGCTTTGTGTTTCGGCCTGTGCCCAGCAGCTCCAGTCCATTCGCTACCACCTGACCCATTACTGGGCAAGACAAAGAAGTCAAACTTAAAAATAATCAATATAGTCGAATCTTCTATTATAGCTATACCCAGTACAAATCACCACTTCACACTTCTCTTGCATTTTTATCATACCATAATGAAAATGTCTAAGATGTCCATTTGTCTTACATAAATACTTTTTCCGTGACAATCGGTGTCCCACTTGTACAAATTCGACTGTATAGAATAATTTAAGAGCCCTGAGATTAGATGTGAAGGCACTGTTTGTTTTCTTCTACCAGAGGAAAAAGACTCAAAAGTAGCGAAACACAGTATTCTTGCTTATTGTTCGTTTTACCAGTCAGAAAAAAAAAATAGCAAAGGAAAGAAATGCTGCTTAAGTTTTTATCAATTCATTTAGATTTGAGGACTGTACAAGCATCGGAAGTGTTCCACTTCACACTGATGTGCTGTGAGAACACTTGAGACTCCAAAATGCCCTGAGAGAAATATATATGGCTCTTTTCATCTATGCAGACGGTCAATTAGGCTTAAGATGGTCTCAAGGTTTTCTTCATGCAGCTTCTTTCACGGCTACTTTTTCCTGTATTTGAAGCGTAGATTCTGTTGCACTGTTTGCATGTCAGTGACGTGGATGGAAGCTCTGTATTTCCGCTGGGTTATTTTCATCGTTGGCGCTTCTCAGCCTTTTATTTTTGAGGCTGCTCTCTAGCGTAATAGTTCCTTTCTTTATCATTATCCTCCATGTTTTCCTGTCCTCAGCTATTTCTTCCCAGACGCTGACATCTACTCCAAACCACGAAATGCCTAAGATCGTGCAGTAGCATCTGAGATGGAAAATGTCGAGATGCTTTTCATGCCTGCAATACAAGGTCCATGTTTCAGATCCATAAAGGAGTGTGCTGAGGACACATGCTTCGTTAATCTTTATCTTTGTTTCGAAGGTCAATCTTTTGTTTTTCCATGCTCATTTTGTCAGCCTTCCAAAAGTCGTAACTGCTCTTCCTATCCTGACGTTGATCTCATTGTCAAGTGGTGTAGTAGAGGTGATGGTAGACCCCAGGTACAAGACTTGTCTACTATCACAAGTTCTTCTTTGTTTAGCCAAATATGTCTCTGCTCTACACCTTCCTGAATAAGGATTACCATTTTCTTAACACTGATGACCAAGCAAACTTGAGAGAAATAACTCATAGTTGCTCTTTATCTAAATCAGAGCAGGAAAATGTAACCTTGTTAATTAACTGACACGTTTGAGTTCCCAGTACATACCAAAGTCTGGATCAGCTGCCTTCAGTTTCTCCAGTGTTCCCTCCATCCCACCGAAGCTTTCTTCATCGTACCAGCCAGCATACTGAAAAACATCACGGTAAACAGTGTTTTAAAATAGAAGTAAAAATTTTACTGCACTTACAACACAATTAGGTCATAGCCTATAAATGCCGAAGATTAAATTAAGGGTGTCACAAGAGAATAACAAACGCAAAAAGAGGAAGAAAGATAATGACAATAGATGTTAGATAGGAAAGAAGGAGCAAACCACACCAGAGCACCCGCCAATCACCCACCATGTAACAGCAAATTGTTACAACAGAATTAACTAATACGTTACATAGAGATTACAATGCAGTTATATGTGAAAGATAATGGCACATGTGCTTAACAGGCTACAATGCTGTATGTTTATATAATGTCCCCCAGGTGACAGAAATGTTGATTTAAAATCCACACTACATGGCCAAGGGAGGAATTGTGCAGTTATGATGGCCTTCAAGAGATTGTCACTATAAATAGCCCTAAGCATTTTAGCCTTTCTTTCATTATTTATTAGTCAAAACCAGCATCATGGAATTCAAGATAAGTGTATTTCACCTTGAATTGGGGTCTCTTAAACAGTATTTTATTTTCCATTAATTCAATAAGACTGCCTTTATCAAATGATTTTGTAGATACATCAAATAAAGACAGTAGCATACCAAATACATACATGTTTGCATTCCTTCTCATCAAAATAAACAGGAACTTAAAGAATAAAACACAGTGCCCTCAACATTTTTTTTTCAGTTAAGATAGACAGTTGAAGACACACTGTCATTTTCTTTCCTTTCTGTTGTACCAGAACACACAGACTCAAATTATTTCTAACATTGAATCAGGGTGTAGGACACTGACAAACACTTTCCACCTTTCCCTATCTTTGGTTAGTTTCTTGACATTATTCCAAATCTTTCCACTTTTTTGTACTTCACTCTGTGTGACTCTTCTTCAAGTTCTACCAAGCCTTGATTCTGTTGCTCCATCATTAGCATTCCTTGAAATCATTCTAATTTGATGACCTGGCAAAGAAGATGTTGCTTTACTCGACTTTATTTAAGAGTGGGATGTACATAATATGCAGTAATATGATGAATATGTTAACCAGCGTCTGAATATTACCATGACTTAATCGAAGGTGGAGAGGTATTTATACAGTATCCTACCTAGAAGAATAAGAACTCGAACCTAAAATCATCCTACTGCAAACCCATTATCATAATTGCTGCTAGGACTCATCTCACCTGTGTCAGAATGGCATCGTAAAGTTTACACGCCTCATTGCTGGCCGTGCTCAAAGGAAGACCTTGGTCTTTCCAGTCCTGGAGAAACAGAAAAAATATACAGCTTTAGACTTACTGCAAATGATAATAACAAAGATAATAACAATAACAGTAACAGTAATAATGATTATAATAATAATAATAATAATAATAATAATAATAATAATAAAAATAATGACAACAGATTGCTTTAAACAGAGGTTCCACTTCAAAACTAACAGAATAAATGAACATGAATTTAAAGTTTTATTCCTTCATCAATACAATTCGGATCACTTAAAAAGGAAGGCTGTTTCCACCCTGTCTGTCAGGGTCAGCCCTGGTGGAAGGACATCTGTAATGAGCGACCACCCAAACAAACACAATAAAGAAAAGACCTAACCCTAACCCCAATCCAACCCCTACCTTAACCCCGACCCAACCCCTACCCTAACCCTAGGCCGCTCGTTATGGAAATTCTCCTGCCCTGGTAGTGTGTATGTACCATAATATTCCAGCAGAGACGTGAACAAGACATTGGACAATACAGCCTCCTCACTGAGAGAATGGGACTCGCCTATTTTTGATGTAAAAAGCTTTACTTTGTACTTGTACCACAGACTGTTATATTATTCAACGCCATATTATTATGGTATAACTGTGAAGTTGCATTGCACTTGTGAATACCAAATTAAATTTGAATCTAATAGTGATTAAACGAGTAGACAAATGAAAGATTAAATAAAAGAAATAAGAGTTAAAAGGAAAAGAACTCTCTGCTATTAGAGTTATCACTTCAAACAAGGTTTACAAGTTACATAATATACATCTTCTTCTATTGAAAGGTTTTTTGTTGTTTTTTTCAGGAAAAAATTTTAACATTGCACTGCGCATGTATAACACTATACTATTCAAGGTATTCAGCTAAAGAGAAAAACAAAACCCCAAACAAGTTACTTAACTGAACAGATAACAACAGTAACAGAAAAGTACTTGAACCAGTGTATTCACGTGACAAGCTGATTTTACTTTTAACCTGGCCTAATTCCAAGGGGTGTATCAATGATACAGATCTTCACTCCTGTTCTAACAAAACTTCACGTGCAACACTTTACCAGACTGGTTAACTGTCTGAAAGCGGTCTATTTCTAGAAAAACTAAGCTCCACACAAAGCACTTTCTGACACCCATGGATCATTATCTATATATATAAAAGTGGACTTGGCTTTGTGCACAAACTCCCCCCTTATCACCTAACCCACACCTTTGAAACTTTGCAGGCGTCCACAGCATCTATGTGGATAGGACCTAACTTTAAAAAATTCACGCAAACTGCTTTCCCTGATTTTTCCAAATTTCTTTGTTTCGTCTACACAGAGTTCTAATCTTGGGAAAGTCTGTCTTCTAAGACGCCATTGTAAACAAGTGAGGTTTTCGTTCACTAGCAGTGTGCATTGATTCCACACCTTTGAAATTCTTGAGTGTACAACCATGAAAGCGGAATAGAGAATCAATCTTTACATCTATTATATATTTGGCAACTTGGAAACACATGTGTCCCTTTTCTCTCAAGATTTCTTGCTCCATTCAAGTAGAGTGTAAATATAGTGGGCCAATGACTTTCAGTTGATGTTAATGCACCGATCATTCCTTTCATCGAAAGGGGGCCAGCTAGTCATTAAAAGTAGGATGTAAAGATGTTATTTACTGCATTATTAGTCTAGAACGCAGCAGCTCAAGCTAAAGACATTGATAATTAATGTCACTGAAGATATCATGAAATTCACGAGATGAAAACAGCACAAAAACTTTTTTTAATTTATGAAAATGTAAATTAAATAAAAAGTAACATGTTTGCTGCCACCCAACTCCATCACTTAACTTTCAGTAAAAGCAGAATATATAGACAATATTTCTTATATAATAAATAAGTAAGTGCTACTCTGTGTTTTTGTAAGTGCATGCATTATGGTAGGATCTCATTATACTGTATGATCATAGACTCAGCATATCAAAATCATTTCTTTCAAGAAAATTTTATACCTCTGTCTAAAAGATCATGATTTTATTTCACCAAATCATCGGAACACAATAAACATTCTTTAAAAAAGACTAGATTAAATTTAACTAAAAAAGCCAGCTATAGGAAAGAAATTGTTAACTGAAATGAGAAGCCCTGACAGTAAAGTTATTGCAAATTTAGGTCGTGAATCTTCAGAGGGGACACATACACTACATATACACAGATATGTTATAGACAAGCACTCCGACTGTAACTTATTAATGACTAAATCCTACCTGAGCACTTCTCCACTGTGAATGCATGATGAATTTATGAAGTCTTTCAGGGCACTGGCTCAAAGACGAAAGGCAAAGAATGCCCACCGAAACCTGAGATGCTCTGTCACTTTACCTGTGCACCTGAGCTGCACCAACCTAAGAAATGAAAAACAATACCACTTACAATGTGTTCCCTTTCTTTCTCATATGACACTTTATATTCTTGTACACAGCAAAAAAGTTAACACACTGTGCGTGTGTGAGAGTGTGTGTTGAGACAAAATGCCTTAAATAGACACAATATATGTCATAAAAAGGAAGTGTCTAAATTCTCTAACATAAGAGAACGTGTATACAAGCTGTCTACGTTCTCTAACGTTCAGTGCTTTCAATTTTCCGCCATTTATTTTTTAGTTTCCTCCATACCTCATCTGTTGATCTGACGCCCGTCGCCTCATTGATACCCCCCCTCCCATCCCATGTTTCCGACTTTCTCACTTTCTTTGTTGTAGAAGTAGAAAAACTAGATGTCAACAACTTGATCTATGTTGTTGCCTTTCCTGAAACGGTGCTGTATAAGCTTAATCTACCTCTGGTCGTTGGATGTTGAGATAGCCGAGTGTTCAGCGTGTCTGCGCTTGAAGTGTATGAGTGTGGGTTCGAATCCCGGTCCCGAATTTTTTTGGGGTTTTTTTTTTTCTTCTTCTTCTTCTCCTCCCAACTGACCAACAATTTTTCCCATAATTATAATTTGTTGCTTTGTAATTTCTTATGTAGTGATGAATCATGCAAATTCTGGTTTTGTCCCCAAGAGGAGCTTACTAAGTATAGGCCTACTTTTCCTTTTACCAATTTATTCCTGGTCAAAGTTAAAGTACATTTTCAACAGTGGCTTTCCTTGGTCTGTGAGTCTACTTTTTAAAATTCATTTTAGAATCAGAGAGGCCAAATCTTAGCTCTTCAATTGCAAATTTTCTGTATCCAGGGCCCTCCTGCGGCCGCCAGACCCCTGCCAATTGTTCCTCCTGCCAATTATTATTCGTCCTTGTTGGGGGTCCAAGGGCAAATTGTTTGTCAGTAAGGAGAAGGAGAGGGAAAAAACCCCAAAGTTTCCGGGCGGGACCGGGATTCAATGCCATGCTTGGAAGCACTGAGCACTAGAGAACGTAGACAGCTTGTATATGTCCTTTAACGTTAGAGAACATAGACACTATGGGTCACTACCTCATAAAAAAAATAATTCATGATGCTTTAAAAAGAGCTGCACAGCAGCAGTCACTTTTACTCACTAAACCATGACCTGTATTCAAGGGATCCTACAGAGAAATGTGTGCATGTGTGTGTGTGTGTGGATTGTT